AGCCATCAGGCTTTAAGAGGGGAGGACTTCCACTCCCAGAATCCCCCAGCCAGCATGCTTTAAGAGGGGTGGGCTTCCACTCCCAGAATCCCCCAGCCAGCAGGCTTTAAGAGGGGAGGACTTCCACTCCCAGAATCCCCCAGCCAGCATGCTTTAAGAGGGGTGGGCTTCCACTCCCAGAATCCCCCAGCCAGCAGGCTTTAAGAGGGGAGGACTTCCACTCCCAGAATCCCCCAGCCAGCATCCTTTAAGAGGGATGGGCTTCCACTCCCAGAATCCCCCAGCCAGCAGGCTTTAAGAGGGGAGGCCTTCCACTCCCAGAATCCCCCAGCCAGCATGCTTTAAGAGGGGTGGGCTTCCACTCCCAGAATCCCCCAGCCAGCATGCTTTAAGAGGGCAGGACTTCCTCTCCCAGAATCCCCCAGCCAGCATGCTTTAAGAGGGGTGGGCTTCCACTCCCAGAATCCCCCAGCCAGCAGGCTTTAAGAGGGGAGGACTTCCACTCCCAGAATCCCCCAGCCAGCATGCTTTAAGAGGGGTGGGCTTCCACTCCCAGAATCCCCCAGCCAGCAGTGCTTTAAGAGGGGAGGACTTCCACTCCCAGAATCCCCCAGCCATCATGCTTTAAGAGGGGTGGGCTTCCACTCCCAGAATCTCCCAGAATTCCCCAGCCAGCATTGCCTTAAGAGGGGAAGACTTCCACTCCCAGAATTCCCCAGCCAGCAATGCTTTAAGAGGGGTGGGCTTCCACTCCCAGAATCCCCCAGCGAGAAGGAAGCTCAGGTTTGTTCTGTCCTGAATCCCTAGAATTTAGACTTTTCCGATTCTGTTGCTGCAGCCAATATCAACACAATTTAAAAATCCAGACTAATGTATAGGCCGTCTTTGAGTTACAACTATTTGTTTAGTGGCTACTCGAAGTTACGACGGCACTGAAAAAAGTGAGTTACCCCCGTTTTTCACACTTAGGAGCATTACGGTACCCCCCCCCCCCATGGTTAGGTTATCAAAATTAAGACACTTGGCAACTGACTCATATAAATGACGGCCCCGGACTTACGTGATCCCTTTGCCATCTTCTGACCAGGAAAATCAACGGGGAAGCCAATTCACTTAACAACCTCATGACTAACTTAACAACTGTGATTCACTTAACAGTCGTGGGAAGAAAGCTAATCAAACGGGAAGAAAAAACACCTCGCAACTGTCTTGCTTAGCACGGCCGTAAGTTGAGGACTTATCCGTATCTTTTAGTGGCCCCTTTTAAAAATCATTGGCGCTTAGGAAAAAAACACACAGTTTAACCTAGTTTTAACTCGACAGGCGACGGGAGGCTCTTTTTGCGTTGATTGTTGTCCCGCCGTTGAGGTCAGAAGGATTTCATTTGATCCTCGGCCTCCCCGCTGTCTCTTTCCACCGGCCTCCCGTGACCTTCACCCATGCCAGCCACGGATCTTCTGCCAGGTGCTCAGCAGAAAAGATTGGCATCTGTCAGAAATGATGTAGGGTTGGACTAGATGTGATTGTATGGTTTGTGTTTAGAATTCGAATTTCACTTTTGTTTGTTATTTATATCCTTTCTTTCTTCCTTCCTTTTTTCATTCCTCTTTTTTTCCCTTTCCTTCATCTCTTTTCCTTTCCTTCCTTCCTTCTTTCCTCTTTTCCCTTCCTTCCTTCCTTCCTCTCCCTTTTCCCTTTGTTCCTTCTTTCATTCATTCCTCTTTCTTTCCCATTCTTTTCTTCCTTTTTCCCTTCCTTCCTTCCATNGGAACGACTAGCACATATGTGCAAGGGGAACCTTTACCTTTATCTATGTTAAATTATAAGCTTTCATTATTTAATTATTCAATATTTCAATGTGTTATTTTCATGCCAATCAACCCTATTCTGAATGCCATCCCTTTTTAAAACAAATAAAATATTATTAAAAACATATTTATTACATTTAGCAAGCTGGCATAATTCTAATAATAATAATGCAAGCATTTATGTTAAATTATAATCTTCCATAATTTTCCTATTTGATTTATAATCCTCCATCAGAAAGATCGGTAGTTTGGCGGTTCGAATCCCTAGCGCCGAGTAACGGAGTGAGCTCCCGTGACTTGTCCCAGCTTTCAATGTGTTATTTTTATGCCAATCATCGTATTCTGCGTATCATACATTATAATAGAAATAAAATATTGTTAACCCTATTTTAAAAATATTCAAAAAGGTTTTAAAAAGGGGAAAAAAACAAGAAACCCCAAGAAAATCCAGTTGCCTTTTGGAAAAGCATTTTGTGGGACAAGCACGATCTAGAATGATCTGGAATCTCCGCAGACACGCTGGAGAAAGGTTTCTCGTCACGGTTGTTAAGTGAATCGCCGCCGTTCTTAAGTTAGTCACGCGGTTGTTAAGTGAATCTGGCTTCCGTATTGGCGGTCGGAAGTTCGGGAAAGGGGACTCTGCAACCGTCACAAGGACATGCCAGTTGCCAAGCCCTATGAACTTGGATCCCGTGACTGTCGTAACTCCGAGCGGTCGCTAAATGAACGGTCATAAGTCAAGGACTAACAATATTGAAAGGTTTCCTTTGTCAAGGCTCAAAGTCAGTTTTCCTGTTCTCAAATCTTGTCTACTGGGCGAGGGATTTGCTCCCCACGAGCGATTATCCTTCCCCTCCGCCTTTCTTCTGACTCGTGTAAACAACGGCAGGGGAGAAAACTGGATCTCGCCTCCCCGCAAAAGGCAGTTTTGTTTTATTTAGGCCAGAGTGCACAGGCTGTGGTATGCCAGGGTGCGCTGCCGCGCATTGCATTCCAGAGCTGCACCCGGGGTTATTCCAGAGCATGGGAAGGGAGGCACAGCCACAGGGCTGCCAGAAGTTTGCATTGAAGCGAACTGGAAAACACACCTATGCTCCAAGGCAGGCAGAGAGGGAGGGTGGAAGTGGTGCATGGGATGGAAGAAAGATTATTCAGCCTGGGTGACTTTAAGAGGGTGGATTTCCACTCCCAGAATCCCCCAGCCAGCAATGCTTTAAGAGGGGAAGACTTCAACTCCCAGAATCCCCCAGCCAGCAATGCTTTAAGAGGGGAAGACTTCAACTCCCAGAATCCCCCAGCCAGCAATGCTTTAAGAGGGGAAGACTTCAACTCCCAGAATCCCCCAGCCAGCAATGCTTTAAGAGGGGCAGACTTCAACTCCCAGAATCCCCCAGCCAGCAATGCTTTA